TTTTCTTAAAAATGAAACTTTGCTTAACATTTATAAGCGATAATTTTGACTTTTTGAGAGGATATTGGGGAAAGATATTCGGGAAAGATGTTATCGTGCTTATCTGTGTTGCAGTAGAAGGAAAGGTTTGGTTCGTGTCGAGATAAAACCAGACCCGGGAGTGGGGCTCGAACTCACGACATCGCATTCAGCTCACGCCTCACAGGTTACCCAACCTCAACGCTACGGCCTACGAGCACCTGGGGCATTCCACGTCAAATCGAACAAAAATCGGCTGTTTTGCACCTTACCATCACCGATTTCATTATAAATTTGTGAGCGAGTTCCTGTGTGGCCCCGGACATTACATTGATGTTTTTTGCACATTCTGACCACAGGTCTTCTAAATATAGGGCATCAAATTTTTACAAAATGTTGCATCTTTATATTTTTGAACGACCATAACTTTGGTTGTACTTGTTTGATTTGAATGAAATAAACCTTACTGTTTAGGTAATTTCTTAAGCATTTGTTTAGAATTGCACCTACTTAAACATATGACCTTGAAATTTGCTTAACTCTGTTCTTAAGCACAAATATTGAAATAGCAAAAAACACGTCACCTTCGATTTGGCTCATTTTCATATATTTTATTGCCTACCATATTCTTAACAACCTGTGAAAAAACTAGAGTGGGCCATTCATAAGTTTTGAAGAAAATTGCACATATGCAAACGTATGTTAGCACGCGCAGTGGAGGGGGAAGAACGAATTTCGCCCACCCCTCCTGTTTTTCGCCAATATCTCATAAGATTAATGTGAAATTAATTATGGCTACCTGTCAAGAATTGAATTGGACATCTCATCGTGCAAGCAATAAGAAAATCGGTTCACAACTGTTCTAGTTATAGCGGTGTAAAGTGAACATCCTGTCGCCGCAGCAACGCGGCGGCTCGGCAGCCGGCGACGACCGCTACGCGCCGCCTGAATTGTAGACTGTGCCGGGACGGAACGGAACGGTTCCGTCTTTACATCGCGCTCCCTACCGCTGATTACGTTCGATTCGCGTCAAACTTTGTGAGAAGACTAAGAAATATACAGGCAATCTTATGGTGAAATTTTTTTGAAAATCGGTTGGTAAACAATTGAAATATGAACGTGTAAACACAAAATTGTGATTGCTGCGTTACCCGCATCGGCCGAGCCCGCCTCAGCCGGCGACATGTTACTCTTAGCAGGCCTCTAACTGCCATATTTATCATTGGATTAACTAGAAATTCCCCATACATACTAAAAAATGTATGTTCTTTCGTTAAGTGGAGATCAAAAGACGTGAAGATATCGTTGCGCGATAATGTTTTCGTTGAATTTACTTCATGATGCATTTCCACACGGCTCAAAATTCACCGCAAAATACCGTTTGCCTAAGACACTTTTACTATGGAACGTGAATGCTTGACTACGATGACTATGCATTTCCATTCTCGCAGAGTTTGGGATATCACTAATCAGCAATCATTCATGTCAGAAAGTGTACACAAGTAAGCATGTCTTGACTCTGTCTTTCAAGGTCACGCGCGGTTGCGTGATGTTGATGCATGAAAACGGCGTTTGCCGCGAAAGTTATGAATGGCCCACTCCAATTTTTTCACAGATGGTTAGGAACATTGTGACGGACATAATATGTAAAAATTACCCAAATCGAAGGTGACGTGTTTTTTGCTATTTAAATTTTTCTGTTTTAATTCAAGGTCAAATGCATTTCAAGGTCACTTCAATTTAATTTTATAATTAAAAATCAAAGCCTTATCAATTGCCTATAAGACCCTGTTAATATCATTTTGATACCAGAAAAGGAACCAGAGTTATAGCCATTTAAAAAATCGATGTGTGGCATTTTTCGCTATATTCGATGACCTATATCTCAGCGATACGTTATCAAATTTTGAAAATATTATACGTAACTCAGTTTTGAACCATGCCCAGTCTGCCTACAAATTTTCAGAAAAATCGAAGGGGATGACGGATTTCAGTGTTTGATTTGACGTGGAATGCCCCACCTATCGTCCCGCGCAGCTTGCTCAGTGTTTCGTCTAGAGTTCGGCCAAAGTGTCTGACGTCTGTCAATGTCACGAGGCGAAACCACAAGGTAAATGTCCGTCCCGGTAGCTCGGTTGGTAGAGCGCTGGACTCCATGTGTCATGTGGTGAGAGCGCACGTCCCGGTTGCAAAAGTCCGGGTTCGAAACGCGACGTGTGTTTGACATTTTCGAGCCTCCTGACGGGTATGGTTGTGGTTGGTGGCAGGCCGCTGCCAGGCGAAGTCAGTAAGGGGACCGGCCGTGCGCGGCTAGGTGCGCACGTTAAAATTTGGACTCTAATTCTGCCATAGACCAGGAATTGTTTGATCGGAGGGTAGAGAGCAGGGACAACGCAACAAGCTCAGCTTAGCGGGAACTCTGTCCTTGTGATTCCTTTCATTCAAAAGGTTCGGGCCAAATTTAATATTAAAAAAAGGGGAGCCGATTGCCGAACCAGGTTGGGCCGGGTTGAACCCTGTTGGACCGGTGTCTTACACGCAATCATGGTCATACAAAACAGAGGCTAATTTCGGGTCAAATATTTTTTTTTTAACTGATCTGATTGTTTTTAGCTTACACGTGTACCTATTAACTTAAAGCTTTTTTAACACGAGACTTCATGCACAAAAATGTGACATTCGTCAACTTTTCCTCATCTTCTCTTAGCGACTTGATTTGACCTTAAAGGCCTTCTTACCAGTAAAAAAAATCACCTGCGTGATAATTATTTGCCAAAGGGCGCTCTACGCAAGAAACGCCAGCCGGTCAAAAAACTGGCGAACGATACGATCGCTTGAATTATATTCAATGAAAATTTCAGGAGACATAAATAATATTAATCCTTATATGTAGCTATAGCTATATAGCTATACCAGTATACTGGTCGCCCGGAGCATTCGCTAGCATTGCATTGCCAGCTGCATTACCAAAATCACATTTGCATTACTTTGGGTTCATCATAGTTGACAGTAGATAAACCGGCCACAGCAAACCCATGCCTCATTATCCTTTCCTTCCAAGCAGCCAACTGCCAAGCTAACCGGCCGCCCGGCCCACCACCGCGATATGGAACAACGCTGGAGTGCGCCATTTGCCTGCGGCAGTGCCCCACCGCGCCGGGGCTGTTTGACAGGTCACCCGCACCGTGACCTCGCCACCCTCCCCCCCCCTCCCCATCGGGCTCAGCTCGGTAGTGACCTCTCCTTGAATCTCACATGGACTCGACTGAGGCTCAACGCCATCTAGTTTCGTCTGGAGATCCTTACTAGATCCACTGTACATCAAGGTAGGAGAGACAGTGTAAAGCGTAAATGCTGAGACGATCAATATGTAGTTACGATGTGGGTCAGTGCGTAACGTGTGTGTTTGGCGCTGACCTAAATAGAGACAATGGACAAACATAATCGACAACGCGGAACTGATTACATCAATATTATATTACCTAACTAACACGAACGTCGAACACTACCTAAGCAAAATTGCCTTTACAGTTTCGTTTTGAACAAATGGTTGGCAAACAATGCCCTACTTTTACCTTGGTGGATTGTGATTTACCTACCTAGTTTAGCTGGACTAGGAGTTTGTAACTCATTCTCTCTCTCTCTCTCTCTCTCTCTCTCTCTCTCTCTCTCTCTCTCTCTCTCTCTCTCTCTCTCTCTCTCTCTCTCTCTCTCTCTCTCTCTCTCTCTCTCTCTCTCTCTCTCTCTCTCTCTCTCTCTCTCGCACTCTCTCTCACTCTCTCTCTCTCTCTCTCTCTCTCTCTCTCTCTCTCTCTCTCTCTCTCTCTCTCTCTCTCTCTCTCTCTTCCAAGACAATGTCAGTACGAAGCAATGCCTCGTTTTAAAACATACTAAGCTCATAATTAATTCATGAATGTATCCTAGCGACCTATTGAACCAGCCTTCTGACTAAAGGACGTCAGAATCGTTACAGCGCCCGTCCGCCATCCATATTGAATTGCATCCACCGTATCAGCTCAGCCGGACATGGTGTCAGCTCCCTGATGTCTGTTTCAGTCCTAGACTGCCCTGCCCGGGTCTCCAGACTGCGCAGACTTCACCAGACTGTTCCCAGACTGCGCCACCCCGTCCCGAGCCTTCTGAATAATGCCCGCATAAGCTGCAGTAGACTTACGCTGACTCAGATCGTGTATGCGGCATAGCCGTTCAATCAATGCCCCAGGTCGATAGTCATGCAGTGGGCTGGGCGAACGATCTAGTGCGCGGGTTAATGCGTCTTGAATGGCTTCTGACGTCAATACGACTAAAAATCAATTAGTTGAAGCATAGACGATCTCAAAGCAAACAGTGGATGATTCGTGGACAGGATAGATTGAAGGGACTTTCCTTGCAGTGGACAGTGTTTGAGTGAAAAAGAACTTACAAACGTTGCATACAATGAGTATTGAAAAGTTATCTCCACGTTTTGAGTCCTTTACTTGCAAAAAACTTGTCACATCCACTACAAACCGGCCCGGGCCATCTGTCTCTGTATTGGCTGAGCGGCGCAAAACTATGAGGTAGATAGACTGTGCCGCAAGGCAGGTGTGCGCTGCGGAACAGTCCGCTAACACAGCCAACGGAGGATCTGACAGCAGACATACGGTTGCGCAGCGTCGAGCTGGCTCGCGCTCGGTGTAACGACATGATGACATGACTAATGACTATTGACTATCATCCTCGCGAAGGAATAAAATTTGTATCGCGATTGTTGTGTTTTGTATGCGTTATTATGGTTTCAATTTACTTTGGCTTGCTACATAACGCCGTATGTAACCAAACGGCGACTGTTGGCGGTTGTTCGTGGCAACTGGCAACTGACCTGACTATCTGCGATGACTGATCAGACTGTCCGTGACGACTGTCCGTCGTGACTGACCCGAATATCCGCGCCCCGCGGCGCCCGAGCCGCACCGTCCTAACATCCGTGTCTGTTGTTTCAGAGTATGGAGTACGGCGGCATCGGCGGGCAGCGGGCCGGTGTCCCTCACGTCCACACATCCACTCAGCCCGGTGCCCGAGTCCCGGGGAGACTCCGGCAAACCGCTGCCTCCGCCGCCCCCGCCGCCGCCGCCGCGCCCGCCTCCATGACATGAGGCGCCGGGCGGCGGCGGCGGCGGCGGGGGCGGCTGGGGGCCGCCGCTGCTGCCGCCGCCGCCCGGCAGGCGCCGCTCCTCCGTGGAGACCATCCGTCTGGACGGTAGCTGGAGCAGCTGGAGGAGTCGGAGACGCACCGCCAGCGCCGGCTCGGCGCCCTCCCGAGACGCACGGAGCATCGAGAGCCGCATCCGCACAGTGCTGGACGAGGTGGAGGAGACGCGCCGCGACGAGCAGGAACGGCACGGAGCGAAAACAGAGCGGCACGGAGAGAAACCAGAGCGACACGGGGAGAAACCAGAGCGACACGGAGAGCAGCACGGACCGGAGCGCCAAGCGAATGGAGGGGCGTCACAAAGAGGGCGCTCAGATGCCGAGGTGCTCAGGGTGAACGTATGGTGACATGACAGAGTGCCGCGTCCCCAGCAGTGGGAGTGAGCGGTGTTTTACTTTCAACCTCAGTAAAAAGCGAGCCCCCGCTGCAGTGATAGATATGCTCTTACGTTCTTGCGCTCCACGGCTCCAGCGCACTGGAAGTGTAGCCCATTCCTTAGGGGCAGGAGCAAAAACAATCGAATACCTCTTGTCTGGAGTTGTGCCAGCTATAGCGGTAAGAGCCAGTGTGCGCAACGTTTCCAGGTCTGAAGCCTGGTCCGGTCTGGGAGCAGACTCAGAGCAAAGAAGGAGAGAGAGAGAGAGAGAGAGAGAGAGAGAGAGGGAGGGAGAGAGAGAGAGAAAGAGAGAGAGAGAAAGAGAGAGAGAGAGAGAGAGAGAAAGAGAGAGAGAAAGATAGAGAGAGAGAGAGCCGAGAGAGAAAGAAACAGGGAGAATGAGCACGGAGAACAGCAAAGCCAAGGACCAGTTATGGGTGTCTGTGATATAATATAGTGGCGTGAGCGACGTTGTTACGTTCGTATGTCCGCACAACCACCGTCCAGCAGATTTTGCACCGCAGAGCAATGACAGCTCGGTGGGCTTACATGTAAAGGGCGAGAAGGGCTGAGGAAGTGAGGAGGGCTGACGTGAGTAAATGGAAAACATGATTGAGGACACATGCCAGATAGATCGATGCAATGCACACATTTTGTTGACTCAGGGAAGTCTCCGTATTATCAGCAATAATATAATACTTTATGAGTGGTAGCTCACTAACGATCAGCTACTAACAACTGTATGTCCGAATATATAAAGTGTGATTATTTAGCGGCACACATGGGTAGTGTGTAGGATGTGCATCGTGCAATATATTTATGCCTTCTGAAGCTTGACATTGATAATGTGTAGTGTCGACCGGTGTACTGCAAGCGTTGTTGAGTAGACCGTAGGTTTTGCGGTGTTGTTAGTTGGCTAAATATGTTCCTCCGTCAGAGGCTAATGACGATATATGATGGCTAATTTGTGGAAAAATACTAATGATTCCCCAGCTTTTGCTTGTTAGAGTTCCTATGAATCAGCAGCCTCAATTAGTGTCTGGTGCGTTGCTCACACTATTGGTTTTGTATAAAAATATTGTGTTCCAATATTATGCGGTATGCTGCGTGAGCCGTGGGACAATGACAATAACTTCATTGTATCCTATGACTTCTCGGAGATCCGTGATCGCTTATGGTTTATTCAGAAATAAACGGCAGTTGGTTATATGGTGGTGGCTGGCAGAGAGACATTGCTCTTCCATCTCGTACGAAGGAATCGTTGCAAACAGGAACATAGACTGTCCTTAGGCTGCAAAGGATCAATCATTTCCAAAGCAATTAATGGAGCGGTAAAACTTACATATGCGCTTATTATAGAGACGTTAATTCTATGATCCCTGAACGCACGCATTACTTTGAAATATCATTTGGAAAATGCATAACAGATATCCTATTTCAGTGGTGACCTCCAGCAGTTATCTTCTAATAACATTTTATCCATCAGCTCGGCCAAACATATGAATCCTGGAAGAGGTACCTGAATGCACGTACATGTAAGTGTCGGGCCGGCGGTTGTTCGTTTTAATAGATAACGCCATCAGCCGAACGACGGCGGCAGCCCAGAGTGACTGCCGTAGAGACGGGCGCAGATCGACCGCCAGCGATCAATGGTCGACACCTCACGTCGGCGGCGACACGGCACTTTGGAGGACGACACGCGGCCGGTGCCCTCATCAATGTTTACCTTCAATATGGCCCACAGCCGCGCCGAAACGTCGTTCGGCGAGGACAAACAGTGAAATTGCAGGAAGCAAATCGAATGGGATATCGAGCGATGAAATTTAAAATATGAATCAAATGGAGATAGATGTGTAGGTATTGGTAGGGTCACTTAAGCAAGCAATAGGCTAGTGCAACGACATGTTAAAAGCTCAGTTGATTGGAAGAATAAATGCGTCATCATTTCATCACCTTATAAACCCTTTAGTTGTAAAATGCATTCCATTGGACACGTTCATATTCCGTACAATTTCACTCAGCAGTTAACAATGAAACGCGCCATGTACTTACATCAGTCAACAGTTCACACAAGCAACGCCATTCACCTGGTGCCGATTCATACTCGACCCATTTGTACAGTCACTGATATTTTGTCCGGAGTCCACCGAAAATGTTGCGTTTGCGTTCATCCCCTTAAACGTAGCAGGCATCGCTAACGCTCTACCGAACATCATCGAATCATTCAACAAAGCCAATTTCAACAAACAGGTAGAACGAGCATTCACACGGTTTCATATTTTCGTTTTGATGGCACCAACACTTTTTTATACAATTTTACCCAAACTCGTATAACCTTTTACACAGTTGTGTGACGTATGTCAAGGTAATCTGCCGAATCTGAGACGCTCTCAGAACACAAGTGCCTAATGCGACACACCGCGGCCCTCGCCATGGGCCCTGCGTTGGCCAGTGAGACGGTGCAGTCACCTGGCCGTGACGTCACACAGCCAGCGGCGCCATTACGACGTCACAGGGCTGCCAATTCATCAGGACAGTGCTCGACTCACCTGGTGGCCTGTGTCATTTAACAGCGCTCTTCTGCGAAGAGTGAATTAAACGCCAGCGTCGAGGAATTCGGCGAGCCGGTTGGCTACCAACGCAAACCAGACTACAGATACGATTAAAACAGTGTTCACTTTGTGATTCAAACACATACAAGCACGATAAGTTACATATGCATCGTTCATATCGTATTTTTAGATGAAGACAGAAATGCTCTAAAATTTTCATTAGTAACGGATGAATAATTTGCAACCTAATTCATTTATGTAGAGGACCCTGATTGAAACCAGTGGACGGAGGCGTCACGCCGCTCATGTCTAAACGTTTATACGTTTGAGCTAAAGACACCTCCCTGTCTCAAACACACCAGAGCAAGTCTCGGATATACACCACACGCATCACGCCACAATATATAGCTCTGCAGGTAGGTGGGTCGAACTGAGGATGCAATGATGCATACAGTTCATTTCACATATACACGCACGAGTCATACAATACCGACATGACATGTACAACACAGTTAAGGCCGGGCTGGCTCAAGCCACAAAGCCTCAGACACTCTTCGTCAAAAGACATGGTCGTTATTTTCTTGAATAGCGAACCCATCTTTCGAGTTATAAGTAGTTCTGGTCACTGTCAGCTCGACCTAACTTGGCTCTGTGACGATCTACATACTAGTTCAGTGAACTACCTCAACACGTCACTAGTTTCACGAGATGGCACAGCTTCGCACACCTTCACAATAACGCCATGTACTAAACGACGTCGTGAATCTGTCACTTTGTCACCAGCATGACCGATTCAAAAGCACAAAAATGACACCCATGACCCAATACTAAGTGCGTCCATTGGTGCCAGTTCAACTATCTCTCACTGGTGTTCCAGTGACTGCGCCACGCGGCTTCAGTCACAGAATCTCACTATGACCGTCTCTAGCCGCCCTGGCCGTCTCAGGTCACGCTCTGACCGCCCCACTCTGACCGTCTATTTGCGCGGTGAGGCTAGGACTGAGCCCCGCGGCGCAGCTAACTGTACCCGTATGACGAGTCTGAGCCCGCCTGGCACGGCCTCCGCCGCTCCAACGCATCCAACCGTTTTAGGGTTTCAAATGGGCTCGCAGCCTGCCTGTCTCCGCTGTCGCTGCTCGCTGCACTGCGCAGCTCGTCGCCGGGTCCCGGCACCAGCGGTCGGTTGAACCTGCCGTAGACCGGGTCGCGACCGCGCACACTGTCGCCGGCGCCTCTGTGCAGACTTCCCGCCGAAGAGTGCTCTCCGATAAGGTTCTCTCGATAGCCCCCTGTGCCGGCGCCGAAGTAGGCCGTGCTGTAGTTGTCGCTCGGCGCTGTTCGGTAGGTGACAGGGGAGTGCCTCTCCCTCTCCCGGCACGGTACATGGTACCGGGAAGGGTCGGACGGCAGAGTAGGCTGGAAGCTGACGGTGGCGTGCGGCGGTGGTGTGATGTGTCCCGAGCCGACCGTGCTGCGACCCATGGACAGGTCCAGCTCACTGTCCGGCCGCTGGAAGCCGGTGAACCCGGGCGGGGCAGGCTCCGAGCCAGCGTCCTTGGCCTTTCGCCGCATACAGAGCCGGCCGACCAGGAACCCTAGGCCGAGCAGCAGGCAGACGGTGACCCCGAGCGTGAGGTACAGGATCAGCCGCTCCTGGCCGTCTGAAACACACAGCGGCAGGTGTCAAAGGGGGAGTCATTAGAGCAGGGAGACGAGGAGCGTCAGGTACAGAATCAGCCGCTCCTGACCGTCTGAAACACATAGCGGAGACGTTAGGTGCAGGATCAGCCGCTATTGGCCGTCTTAAACACACAGCGGCCGGTATCAGAGCAGATAGGCTTGAGTGGAGAAACGGACCGCAACATGCTCAGGAGGCGGCTATATAATATACATACAGCATGGTCAGTGATCAGCACCATACCAAGCGTGGCTAGAAGATGGTCTAGCTGAACACCTGTCCTGACACACCGGTGGCGCCCTCATAACGAAGTAGGTTAGAGCTGTCTCGATTTCGTGATAGCCTAATTAATGGACACCATACCATGACACAAGTTCATAAATCTCGGCTCAGCAGAAGAGATCCGATAGCTGTCCCATTAAAGGGACCCTCCCACCTTAACATTAGTTTTGAGTTGAGATAGCCAAGTTTGCGGCCAGGCTCAGAAACCACCATTTATCCTGGTCGCAACCCCCGCAGCTTTATGGTGTTCAAGAAATTTCTTCCCTTTACTTGCAGGGTGGGACCAGCGTGGTCCCTATCTCTTAACCATTACGGGAGTCTGATGACGTCATCAGGCTTTCGAACGTCCGTTAAATGTTTGACTAAAACGTTTTGTAGCACGCGGTGGTATATGCTGCTTTGCGCGCAACAAATGCCGCACTTTCAAATAAAGTCGCTAGGAACAGCGGAGATCCCAAAAAGTAAACAAAAGTAAAAGTCTAATATCTTGAAAACCGGTGAATATTTTTCGATGAAATTTGGTAGATATTCGTTTTTGCTCTTTCTGAACCGGGCGACATCACTTTCATGCCAATTCATTAACTTTTTTGAAGGTGGGAGGGTCCCTTTAATATGCTACAATGTGGCGACCCCGTTTCTTGACAACGGAGAATAATTGGCCAGTTTGGGGCTCTATTCACACCTGGTTGGTCGCCACGAAAACTTATAAGTGGTCTCATTAAGGCCAGCTAGGCTGCTGGCGGGGGTCAATCGATATCTGAGCAGTAACTCAACACCCAGTGGCACCTCATTATAGCACACAATAAATTGAAATGTTTTCAGATGATGAAGCATACACAAAACCTTATTAGAGACGCACAGAAGCGATGCAAGCCATGCAGTGAGCACTCATGCAACACAACAACAAAAACATCGACAAAAAATCGGCATACAATACTAACACGCATTAATACATACAACACAGATATAGTCCTACAAACACAAACAAAGTCTACATACAAAACAAAAACACATTCACAATTTCCACTCGCGCACGCATTCGCTGCCTACCCGTGCACACATATGTGTAATCGGCAAGCTTTGCGCCGATTAAAGTTTATCTGTTTCACCGGCGAGAGGAGCCCGGTGACCATATGATGTCTGGACAGGAATTTAATTCAACGGTTTTGCGCGTGATCGTCTGCTATTCAATTGTTGCTACAGGTATGAACTCGAAGCTGTCCTAGATACTGCAATTAAAATGTGTTTATTATGTACGGCATATTATTAGAATGGTAAACACTCTTACTCATGCTCTCGGCTTTACTGACCAATTAGTATAATGTTTTATATAGCGGATGCCGCGATCGGAGCATCTCATGGTGCACTATGTTTTCGCCCATCAGCTGATCACGGCAGGTGTTCGGCTGACTTGGGCGGGGAGTCTGGTATCGAGAGCTCTAGGAGTGAGGTTGCGCTCCTGGCTCTGTTAAAATGTAATCTAAAGCTAAATACAATGTAATTTTCTTCACTTTTGAGTATGTCGATTCACCTTCAGTAAACACGGGTTTACATTTGGTGGCAGCGGTGGGATCGACTTAGTCGAAATGAAGATTGGAGCCCGAACCGACGTCCTCGGTTTTCGCGGCCTCAAGAAATCAAGTTTTCAACTGACTGTTTGAAATCTTCGGAGCAGCTATCGCCAGTACAAGATGTCTGCTGTTGGTTTTCCGGCTCTGCAACACTCTGACGAGTTGTCAGTTAGCCGGTAAGGTCGGTCGACGTCGCCTTTTGTCCCGACTGAAGACTGCGACATGTTGGCCGCTGCACGGCGACTGTCCAGCAGTGCCGTCTGTTCCCGCTAGCACCGAGCTCCGCTTCTTGAGCTGTGCTACGGTCGACTGATCCTCGGTCCACTTGGCTTTGCAAGTGTCGACTGACTACTGAGCGCCGTTGCTGCAACACATTTCATCAAGTTTATCGCAAGATGGACCAGTTACGAGCCGTCATGGAGATCGATCAGCCAAGGGCTATCGAAGCAAGAGGAGCCTAGTCTCAAGCTGCGCTGTTTCCCTGCTTCTTCAATCTTCGTGGTACCGGTTACCTGCAGTCTCAGCTGTGATGGAGGTGACGTCCGTGAGGAGGCTGAGAGACAGCGATCAGTGCGCAGTGGCCTGCGGTGATCTCGGCCCAGCCGTCGCGCTGCTGCGGCCTGCGAGTTCCGTGTGCAGTGTTCAGTGATTTGGTGCGCGAGTGGTGAGCGAGTGACGAGTCGGCACCGCCATAGCGATTGGCGTCCGACCTCCTCGCTGCTGGTGATCGGCACCAGCCGGCCGTATCGCCCACCGCGACTCGGCTCGGAGCTCTGCCCAGCACTGCGGCCCGTTGGCGCTGCACGGGACCGCGTCAGCTGATTCGAGGAGCAGCAGGCAAGGCACCGGATGGAGAGGACTGGCCTTCACTGCACTCACGGTACTGTGCCTGGGGAACTGGGATTTCGGGGTCGGTGAACTGTGTTTTGAGTGTTTGACAATGAACAATTCAGTAGTGGTGTCAGAGCAATGTGCGAAAAAATCAAAGTGAATACGCAGTGGAAATGGTGTTGGAGTTCACTGTAAAGCTAGGTCAGGTTTGGCTAACCAGTTAATGTGGTACCTAAACAGGAATTTAAAATGAGTTCTTTTATTGTACCGGCACCCCGTTTCGGTGGGAAGGGCTCATTGTCCCGTTTCCGTGAGGATTTTCAAACGTTTGGTCGGCTTCAGGGCTGGGATGAGGGACAGCAGCTTTCTTTTCTGCCACTGACCCTAGAAGGCATTGCACGGGATGCTTATGATGCTCTGAGCTCGAGTCAGAAGGGATCCCTGGACAGCGTTTTCAATGGTTTGCGGGAAACGTTCACAGTGGGGACCACAATCGACGCGCACATTCGTCTGACCGAGTTAAAGTATGACCCCGCCGAGTCTCTGGACGAGTTCCTTGTGCGGTTTAAGTCTCTGGTAAGGCGCTCCTTCCCAGATCAGCCGACCGATGGTCTACTTTTTAACTACTTTCTGTCAGCCGTCCCCGAGAAATATCGCTCAGAGATTGTGATGGCGGGAATTACTGATTTCCCAGCCGCCGTGCAAAAGGTGAGCAATATCCGCAGCGCTGAGGTGCTGCGAAGCGCGTCAGTGCGTCAGGTAGAGGTGCAGGCGCCGATGTTGCGCCTGATACTCGATCGCATCGAGCAGCTCGAGCGGCGTCTGGACGGCCCCGGACGCCCCGAGCGGACCGGACGGCGCCGCGGGTCGCAGCCGTCCCGGGCAAACGAGGCGCCGGCGCGCGCCTGCTGGGCCTGTGGTGGTGCTGATCACGTGCGGTCCCGATGCCGTTTTCGTGATAGCACCTGCCACTCGTGTGGTAAGAAGGGACACCTGGCAGCCGTGTGCCAAGATCCGCCGGGAAACGCCGACCGGGGCCCAGGTCAAAGCCCGAGGCCGGGTCCCGCGGCAACACCCGAACAGTAAGTGATGCTGGTGACAGCGTACAGCTCAACCCAGATATGACCTTCCCGGCTAGGATCTGTGGGGTTGAGTGTAACTGTTTGTTGGATACGGGTTCAACGATAAGTATCATTAATAAGGCAGTGTTTGATGCTTTACCGAACGCCACTTTGAGTATGACAGCGACACGGGCGCGGACGGCCGCGCAGGAACAGTTGCCTCTCCTAGGGAGAACTGTCCTTTCCGTTCAGATAGGTCGCGTACAAAAGACTGTTCCCTTTTATGTGTCAGATGTGATTGATGTGCCCTGCCTGTTTGGCATTGATTTCCTTCAGCACGTGCAACCGTGTGTAATAGATCTGCAGCGGAAATGCCTGAGCTTTGTGCCGTCGGAGGCAGTTCGATCTGTTTCAGCGGAGGCAGTGACTGTAGGAACCGTGGTTCTGGGCAAAGATATTACCGTTCCACCCGGTAGTGAGACGGTGGTTCGTGGATTTTCTCACAATTGTGACTACAGGGGTTCTGCTCTGATTGAACCTTCTTGGGATAAACCGGGATTAGAGGTTGTGAGGAGCATAGTGGAAGTGTCTGGCACGAGCGTTCCATTAGTATTGCGAAACAACTCTGATCGTTTTGTTACTGTACCCAAGCACGCTGAGCTGGCTCAGTTAGAGGTAGGGTTTTCAGAGGAGCCTAAAGTAAAAGAGTCTGAGCTTAAAGAGTCTGTGAACTTGGAAGAATTAGTGAACTTAGAGGGAGTAGATATAACGTCATCACAGAGAGCTGCCCTTTTTCGCGTCCTTAAAAAGTACGAGTCAATGTTCGATGGTCACGTGGGCCACACCACTCTGGTGGAGCACCGTATCGATACGGGTGACAGCCCTCCGATCAGACAGGCCCCACGCAGAATTCCGCCGCACCTCAAAGAGGAGGTGAAGGCTCAGCTAGACGAGTTAGTCAGACAGGGGATCTTAGAGGAGTCAGAGGGCACGTGGGCGTCACCAATTTGCGTGGTTCGTAAGAAGGACGGGTCGGCGAGAATAGTAGCCGATTTGCGTCGATTGAATTCTGTGTCGCGAGTCCCCGCCTATCCGATAGCCAGAATTGATGACACGTTAGATGCGCTGTCGGGATCGTCGCTATTTTGTACCCTTGATATGAACTCGGCTTACCATCAGATGTCAATTGCACCGGAGGACAGAGAAAAGGCAACGATCGTGACACCTTTCTCGTGTCT